TATAATTAAATATTGTTATATATAATTATATATAGTTATATATTGTTATATACTATTATATATAATTATATATGGTTCGATATGATTATATTTAGCCATTTTTCATATATAACCAATTTATATATAAATATATATAATTATATATAAATATTTTTTCTCCGGTAGCGTCATTTTTCACTTAGGAGTCTTGTTGCAGATAGTTATGACAGATAAAAATTGCCAATATGGTGCAAGTCTTCCTCAAGAATTTGAGTCTCTCATATCACAGTAAAATTTATATCTTTGTCAATCTATCCCTTTTAAAGCCATGTGCAAGTATCTGCTGCAAGCTTCTTGCGTACATCTATGGACAAGTCATAGACAATTTTTAAATTGGTTCCTTGTGTCACGATCTTGTGCAAGCACTGTGTTACTTGGGGAATAGGTCTACAAAAAGTTTCGCATAAATTTTCAAATTTTTTATCCAACCGAAGAAAACCTTATGAAAAAAAAAGTCATTTAAATTATTTTTGACCAAACCATAAGCTTTTAAAAACTAAGAAATAGCCGATTTGCGATCCTAAATCTTTTTTAAAAGCCTTCGGTTTGTTCCAAAACATTTAAAATGACACTTTTTTCTCATTCTCTTCAAATAGTCATTAATAAGTTTATCGATTATAAGTCTTAAGTTTTTAACTATTAAGGAATGTAATGCAATAAAAAAAAAAGTTGGAAGATCTCTTCAAAAATTCTAAACTGATAAAAACGACAAAAAATTTTTCAAATTGTTGATTGTTCTACATTAAATTGTAGAAGTAAAATCGTTCCCTCTTTTGAATGAGTTAATCCCGTATAGCATCTTTTTCAAGGCTTGAGCAAATCTGGTCTCAATTCCGAGAGTTGTTAGTGTCTTTTTCTACCTATGGGTCTTGCTCCAGATACTTGTAGCAAATTCAATTGACAAGTCTTGAACAAGCCTATAACAAGAACTTGGGGCTAGATTATAGCTCAAGAATTGTGTAAGAAAAATGAGAAAATCTGAAGATGCTTATCGATAAACTAACTATATCAGTTCTTGAGAAAGACTAACACCAGAAGCATGCTAAATATACTTGTGCAAGACTTGCTCAAGATCTGTTCAAGATCAAATGTTTTCGAATGACTATTCGCATCATTCTACCTCTCCTCTATTTACTATAGGATCAGTGGATCTCATTCAGCTTAACCTTTTAGAGTATAGACCTACTGTTTTATCGATCAAGACAAAATTATTTTAAAATGAGCACCACTGAATCAATACATCTTCAAGTAGTGAAGGGGAAAAAGTGCTATAAAATACATAATGCGTCATGCATCTTGAACAAATTTTGAGCAAGTTACGCTTCAACATTTGCTGTTAGTTTTTGGTTCACAAATCAACGTTCTAATTAGTAAATTGTCTAACTCCATTTTAGAGAATCTTCTATTTGTACGAAAAAAACAATTAGTTAAAAATTCATTATCACTTTAAAAAACCATTCAATATCATTATTATCTATTAGAGATATAATATATAGATTTGAATCATTCAAATAATTCATAATTCGATTATGGCTACATCAAAATGTTAAAAAAATCACCCTCAAAAAAATATGGAGTTAGACAAATCACTAATTAGACCGTCGAAATGCTTTAAAAATGAACAAATTACTGAGAATTACGGATCTTGAGCAAACCTTGAGCAAGTCATGGGTAAGTGTCTGTTGTGAGTTTCTAATTAAAAAAAAAAAGCCAATAGAATTAAAAACAACTAGGACTGAATACAAGAAAAACTTAATAACGTTTAATAAAGAAAGAGAAGAATAATTGTACTTCCGTACTTTTCAGTCAGTTTTGTATAGACAAAACGACTACAAGAGTAAAATTTCTTAAAAATGATCCTAAGATGGATAGTTTTTGCTTTAGAAAAAAATGTGAGCACATAAATTGAAGCTTAATTTCTCAGCTTTCAGATGTATATAACCGGAATTGAATAACTCGACGCGTTCAGAAGTTATTTGAAGGAGAAGTAGTGAAAATATCAAATTTTCGAAATTTTAAAATTTTTAAATGCTGCAATTTCTAAACTATTCGACCGATTAAGCTCATATTTGAACTTGGCCTTCCTAATAGTCGATAGAATAAATATTTATTTATTTATTAGAAAACAGACGCCTATCGGCTTTATACATCATATATATATAGAGTAGAGAAAGATATAGTGTTGAAATAAAAAAAAAACAGCAGGTTAAAGTAAAAAAAAAAGACAGAATAGTAAATTAAATTAATTACAGTAATAAGTTAATATGTTAAACGTTGAATCAACGATAGGGAAGTATTTTGTTTTTGGTATTCGTGATGAAAGCTTGATAGGTACCACCGTAGAAGTTGATGTCTGTGTGCAAAGAGTTGACGAGGTTGGCGATCCTGTTATGCGGCTCACGGAAGACGTAATTTTTATGTGTCTTTGTCGTTTTTAATAGGCGATTATGCCTGAGTGATAGTGTAGAGGGGGCAAACTCAAAGCTGCTGAGGATTTCAGGTGCATCAATTTGCCCATTCGCAACTTTGTAGAAAAACGTTAGGTCTGCAACCTGACGCCGATCAACTAGGCTGTTAACCTTGAAAAGAGAGCGAATACTATCGGTGGAGAGTTTTTGCGGCCTCAATGATGGATGAAACGACAAAGACTTGCAGAATTTGTTTTGAACCCTCTCAACTCTATTGATGAGAGTGTCAGTGTATGGTGACCATATGACAGTACCGTAGTACCGTACTAGTATTGGTAAGACTAGTGAGCGATACAGACTAAGCAGGGAGTACGGGTTGCGAAAATCTCTCCCAGTTCTTGTGATGAGTCCCAGAACTTTGAATGCTTGCAGACTTATTTTGTCAATGTGCTTTTCAAAGGTGAGTTTGTTGTCGATTAAAATTCCCAGGTCCTTGACGTCCGAAACTTCTGGTAGATTCTGACCGTTGAGTTTGTAACTAGTGATAATATTATTGTGAGCACGTGAGTAGGATACCGCAGCACACTTTTTGGCATTGAGGTCCAGTTTATTGTTGGTACACCAGGTAGACAGCATATCAATATCTTTTTGTAGAAGCTGGATGTCAGAATCATTGGAGATGGTTCTATAAATCTTCAGGTCGTATGCGTAGAGTAAACATTCAGACTGTATGTTATTAACTATGTCGTTGATGAAGATATTGAAGAGGAGGGGACCTAAGTGAGATCCTTGTGGAACTCCAGATGTGGTCTCATACTCTTCTGATAGATAGCCATCTACTCTAACTTGAAGGAATCTGTCAGCCAGGTATGAATGGAGCCATTCTAACGCGGTGCCTTCCACACCGTAATTATTAAGTTTGGCAATGAGAATTGTATGGTTTACACGATCGAACGCCTTGCTGAAATCCGTATAGATGGAATGTACCTTAAGTCCATCATTCAACGCATTGAGTAGGTAATTAGAGTACGAGTAAAGATTTGACGTAGTTGATCTTCCACCCACAAATCCATGCTGCTTTTTCGTGATGATATTTTTGAAAGCTTGTGTGAGTTGAGTGAGGACCAGTTTTTCGAAAAGCTTAGCCAGTGCGGATTGGATACAGATGGGCCTGTAATTGGACACTTCAGATCTCTGGCCGTTTTTGTGGATTGGACACACATATGATAACTTCCAGACGCTAGGGAAGGTACCCGACTGAAGGGATTTGTTGAAAATATGGGTGAGAGGTTCGCAGATCTCTGTTGCACAATTCTTCAAGAATATATTCGGAATCCCATCAGGTCCTGCACCTTTATTAGGATTTAGTTTAAGTAGCTGTTTGAGAACATCATCATAGTCGACCTCTAGACTGTTCAGATTAGCTTTCAGGATATTCGCATTGGCATTGATGTGATGGTTGCTGTTGAGATCCGAGGAAAATGTTGTCTTGAAAAATGAGGCAAACAGGTTACTAATATCTTGTCCAGTAGATGCTGATTGGTTGATCCAGGACATTGAAGAAGGGATGTCAGTATTGTTATGTTTTTTATCCTTGATAAACTTCCAGAAGGCATTAGTATCGGTCTGAACCATGTTTTCGATTTTGTCAACATAATTTCTGTAGTATTCGGCACTTAATATTTTACAATCCCGTCTCAGTATACTGAAACGGGTGTAGTTCTGTTGATTTTTCATTTTTTTGTATTGAGAGTGTGCAGATTTCTTAAGCTTTATTTTGTTTATGAGTTCATAAGAGAACCAGCAGGGATAAGTACTAACAAACTTTCTGTGAACAGGCACATACCGAGAAATGCCTTCTTCAAGTTTGCTATAAAACCATTTGACTTTGTTTTCTACGGTGTCAGTTTCATATAGTTCAATCCAGTTGACTTGATGATAAAAAGTGTTGAGGTTATGATAGTCAGCTTTCTTGAAAGAGTAAGTAGCTGGGCTAAGAGGTGTTAGATTAGGTTGAAATTCAAGATACACAGTAAAAGCAGGATGATATTTATCCTCTGAAACGAATGGTAGAGCTTTATCAATACTGGCTTCAACGTTGCTAAAACAAAGATCCAGTAGATTATTATTGTAGTTGCATAGGCTATTTATTTGAGTACATTCCAGTAGAGCGAGACCATCATGAACAGATTTGTCACAGTCAGCTCGAGGGACGCTACTTGGCAAGTTAAAATCACCTACAAGTAGTAATTTGGCATTTATGAACTTTTCATTAACGTGTGTAAGAGTTGTGAGTAGACTATGGTATTCTTCGTATGACGTAAGAGGAGGCATGTAAACACAGCCAACGATTATATCAGATACAGTACCTTTAATTTTAACGAAGACGAGTTCCAGGTTGCAATCATCAATGGGTATTAAATCAGCATGAATGTGGCGTTTAATGGCAATGAAGACACCACCACCATGTTCTTGTCCTGAGAGTGTTGGGTCTCTATCATTTCTATAAATAGTGTATGTGTTATCAATTACCTCGCCATGTTACCCAAATATGTTGGGTTTCATTGA